TAATATATTAATTATGTGGGCTGATTAAATAAGATTGATACTATTCCCGATGCATATATTTCAGAGGTTTTTAAATTTATCCAGTTTTAAAAAATATTTATAAGAGATGCCATTAAAGAAATTAATTGAAAAATGCGGAATGCAGTAATTTTTCTATGAGATATTCGACGACTCAGTCAAGCTTCTTTATTTATATGTATATATTCAAAATGTCTACTGCAATCGAAATACCCCAAATATTATAGGGTGCACGCAAATATTGCACATACGCCTGGTAAATTGGCTGCCTTCATGCCGCACAACAGGTCGCATAATTCTCGCTGTGCGATCAAGCAAAAAAATAAAATTTATAAAAATATGTACACATGTGTATGTGTGTGTGTGTGTAATCATATCAAGGCTTATTGAAATTCAATGTCTGCGTGCATGCGAAAATAACTGTAATTGATTACCGAATTAGTTGCGCACGAGCAGACAGAAATCAAGCCAAAAACATGGCCAAATATGTGCTATAAAATGTTATCACATTTGATTTATGTCATCGCTGCAAAATTTTCGTCAGTCAATGACAGCGATAGAAGCACCAACATACAGGTAAAGCCAGCAGCCTTCAGTTAGTCAGTCAGTTAGTGAGTCAGTCATTCAGTCATTCATGCTTGCCAGCAAGTCGTGGAAAATCGAAGTTGTTAAAATATTTGCGCTGTCAGGCGGTATTTGGCGTAGCTACGCTCAACTTGTCAAATTGTGTTGCACTGCAACCGACGGGTGGGCAGGGGAGGTGTATGCAACTGGGTGGCATGCGCAGGACAAGCAGAAACAGAAGTGGCTGAACTTTGCCATAGGCCTGCCTCCCAATGAATGTCAAAAGTGAATTTAAAGTTTTGGCCCAACGCCAACGGCGGCTGTCAAAGTGGCAAATGCTTAACGTATTCATGACATAATCTGACACAGTGTGGCAACACATGTGCCACACAAGAGGCATGCCACAACTTCTGACAGCATTCACACATGACATATAGCACTTAATGTGATCAACGAAAAAAAGAAGAAGAAGAATATGCGCTAATGTTTGGTAATTAAAGTAATTGCAATTTCGAAACAAGCATGCAAAACATGTGAAACTCACACACACACACACATATATATATATATGTATATAGCAATTTATGCCAAGTACAGTTGCCTCAAAGCACACATTTACGCCTAATTGATTTATGGCAGTCCACAGCTGTCATTATGCACATGTATATGAATATGGTAATGCTGTCTCTGGACCTCGGCCACCCATAATTGCAAGCACTTGTTAGTTAATTAAAAATGCAAATAAGCCACGCTTGTCCATTGAAAGTTTTACAGTCACTGGCTCGTGTGTGTAGCATGCTCCCCTCTCTCTCTCTCCCATTTCATCTTTCTCCCTCTCTCTGCCTTCGCAGCGTTAATCGAGCGAGACAGATTTCACAATTTCAACTTTAGCCATCGCACAGACAACATGATAATCTGAGCGCAAACACGAATTACGAACAAACAACTTTTGGTTGCACTAAATATGGTGCATGGCCTAAGGGCTATAATGGGATTTCAACTGTGTTATTTGATAAAACTAAACAAAAATTACACATAATCAAAAACAAGTTGAATTGCATAACATTTTTCCATTTGAATATATTAAATAAATTATAAAAATAATAGATAATTAGTTGGAAGTAACGCCCCTTTGGAGACCTAATGTAGATGTTTTATTTGGAAAGGATTTTTAGGACGATGATTAGTTGGATCACAGATCGCTGTAGATCAAAGACCAATACCTATGTATTAATATAAGTATGTCACTATGATTTATTCTGCAGGAACAGAATTTTAAATTCATCATACAATATGTTGGCTTATATATATGCATATATGAGATATACAATGATGAAAAAAAGCTTTCAAGACCGAGGTAAGAACACTGTGGACGTCTTGGATATATCCACTATTTTTGGTTACAGTCGGCAGTATTTTCTATAGAAATTTTTTACCTGTACTACGTAAATATCATTAGAGCTAATGTGTAGTAAAACAAAGTATATATTTATCTTACATATAAATAATTACATAATAAGTTATTGTAAAGTGTATACATAATACGTTGACTAAATAAGAAAAAAGAAAAAAAAAAAAACATTATATAAAACATAGTTTACCTGTACTACGTAAATATCATTAGAGCTAATGTGTAGTAAAACAAAGTATATATTTATCTTACATATAAATAATTACATAATAAGTTATTGTAAAGTGTATACATAATACGTTGACTAAATAAGAAAAAAGAAAAAAAAAAAAACATTATATAAAACATAGTTTGTTACTTATT